AAAATTTGTATAACATAAAGACTTGGGGATGCTGTTGTGCCTTCAAGGCACAACAGCCTGCTGTGCCTCTTTGTGGGAGTTCGTTCCCAATATTTTTCGATAATCTGAACCATTTATATTGTAGAGTTCGTTGATAATATTTTGCATGTAAAAAATCAAATTAATCGGATATTTATAACCCCATGATTAGGTCTTAATTATTTTTAAAAATTTATGAAAGTTATGTTAATCGTTAATTTTTATAAAAATAAATGTGCTTTGGTTATAGAGCTGCAGATATTCAATCAACTTAATTTTTTGCATGGATGATCTACTCGACGAGCCCTATAATATGAACGGTTCAGATTATCCGAAGAAACTCAAGACAACACTCCACAAGAGAGCACAACAGCCTGCTGTACCCAAAGGCAAAGCAGAATCCTAGATCCAACAGAAGAAATAGTAACTCAAGAATATACTATCAGAGTAAAATTTTATTCAGTATGTTTGGTTTGAGTTTTTTGAATTATTTTTTTTGAAATTGAGTTTTTTTTTTCGTATTTTTTTTGTTTTTAGTGAATATTTTTAAAATTTTAAGCATTTTTTTTTACTTTTTTAAATGCATCTTACTTAGATGTATCTAAAAAAAATAAAATATTTGTGAAAAAATATTTTAAAAAATTAATAAATATATAAAATACGAAAAATGTACTATTTTTTATATTTTTGGTATTTAATATTTTTTTAAAGATTTTTTTTGGCAAAAAATTATAATTTTTAAATGTATTTATGTTAGATGTGTCTAAAAATTAAAAAAATTTCTTGAAATATTTAAAAAAATTAGTAAAAATAAAAAAATACAAAAAACAAAAAAGCAGAATTTTCTGAAAAGTGTTTTTAAAAAACTTAAACCAAACATTATTATTCTTAAACAGGATATAAAAAAAATAAAAATAAAAATAAAAAATAAATAAATTGAAAACCTTTGGGCTATGAATTTCCAACAAAAAAGGCACAATATCGACAGGCATGACTAACCCACTACCTCCAAATGCTTAACCAACTTGGATTCATCAACAATAACAATGAATTTCTTGCAACAATCCTCAATCATCTTCTCTCTCAACAACAACCCACCTCGTCCCTTTACCAAATTCATATAGGGATCGACCTCATCAACACCATCAATTGCCAGATCGAGAACAGGGTGAGAATTGAGGTCGGAGAGAGGAATTCCCAATGAGAGAGCTTGCTCGTGGGTCATATTCGAAGAGGGTATTCCAATAATGTCCTTGAGCTCGCATTGGCACAATAGTTCCTTGAATTTATCAATGGCGTGTTTGGCAATCATGTCGGACTTCACGAACTCGACGCCTTGTAGGCGGCAATTTTTTTTAACAGTAATGCTATGTAGCTCGAATCTGGCCTTTCCCGAATCCCCCCGAAATCAAAACGACGTCGTTTTGATTATTTATTTTTTTTTTTTTCAGAAGAAGAAAATCAAAAAAGAAGGAGGAAGAAGAAGAAGAAGAAGATGAGAGAGAGAGAGAGAGAGAGAGAGAGAGAGAAATTAATGAAAATCACTGGTGTAGACACAACAACATCTAAAATAAAGATAGGAGTGAGGGAGTTGGGATCTTTATTACATAACTAGCTTCAACTATCTATCTTTTATATTAAAGTTGGTATATTGAAATCTCCCAAACATTTATGACGTCATTCTGAAATCACACATATGTAATTTTGTATATCTCATTGTATATATGCACACGTTGGCCCACCCATTACTGATATTCAATACAGGTAGTTGTTAGAGAGCTTATGTGGTCATACATATATACCCCTCCATGCCAACTAGCTGCTCTTGAATTAATCAAACAAACTTTTTCAAAGATGATGATGATGATGACACGTGTACAACCACCTTACTCAGAATACTGTTTCAGTTCTCTTGAGGTTGTTGGGAACTTGCCACGTGGCACAAAGATCTTAGGTTTGGTTGGGAGGCCTAATAAAGAAAGACAAAGGGTGATAGGTTAGATTCATAACCAGGATCAGAGGGAAGTGTAGAATATATATCATTCAGCTGCCCTGCTTAATTACATTCCAAACATGGCCCAATATGGTGCTTCCAACTGCCTCAGTAAATGGGAAGGGGGTTTTAGCCATCTGCCTCCTTGCTCCTCCTTTCACCAATTTTTCTCATTTTCTTTGTCTTTTGGCTTAATAATATTTGAAACTTGTCCTTCAAACCTTTTTTGGCACCGCCACCACCATACTACCACTAGATCTGTCACATTTTCATCTCCATGGATCTGCCCTTACTAGATTTGCCTTTGGCTATCGGTATTGGCGTCATCTTTTCTTCTTTCCAATCTTCCAAATTTGATTTTTGGCTTATGTCCAAACTTTCAGTCTTACGTCCAAAACTTTAAGATTTGATTTCAGATCTTCTCACAACACAAATACCTATGCTATTTAACTCATTCGTTTTATGTTAGGTGGCCACCTCAACCTCAATATTCCATCTTGGCCAGTGGAGATGGGATCTTCATATTTCAAGTTGAAGGTTGCGGTATAATCAAGCTTTGGATGCGTTTAGCTACTTGGATCTGGCTACTTTTGGTTTGCTTTCTTTATTTTTTTTAATTATTATTTGTTGTAATAATCCTCCTTATCTGGAGGTTATGTCTTTCCTTGGTGAGGGTTTTTTTTCTTATTCTTTATGGAGGCTATGATTCTTTCTTCTATGAAAGTTTGTTATATCTTTATGATATCTTTTGTTGTTGTTATACGAGATTGATCCCATTTTTTTATCAATTTTATAATGAAGATTTTCTTCCTGATCTAAAAAAAAAACCTTATTAAAAGGAAAGTTGGTGTAATTATGTCAAAAATATGGGGACTTATATATTTTTTTCGAACCTCAAGGAAGGTTAGTGTAATTTACCCTTCTACTATTATTTTTGTAAATTTTTTTTTAGGAAAATTACACTGATCTCCCATAATATTTAGAAAAAATACAATAAGCCTCACAAGTTTAGCATAATTACATTAAACTCTCTTAAAGTTTTAATTCATATAACACTTGACTCACTTCTTATGAATGAAAAAATGATGTTTGTTATCTCATTTACATTGAAATGTATATTTTACCTCATGTGACTTTGTTTTAATATTTTAATTTTACCAAAATGAGGTCAGTATAATTATGTCAAAACTACAAGACTTGTTATATTTTCTCCGAACCTCAAGGGATGTCAATATAATTTACCTTCTTTTTTCTATGAATTTTTTTTCATTTTTTAAATTATTATTATTGCTTTTTACTTTTTAAATGTTCTTAATCTTGATCTACTTTAAACAAATATGAAAATGTATTTTTTGGGGGGTATTTTTTCATATTTAGCGAATTTTTTGCAAATATTTTGATTAAATGAATAAAAAATTAAAAATATTGATTAAAATATTTAAAAATTAATTAAAAAAACATGAAAAAAAAACTCGAAAATAGTTTTTGAGTTTAGTGATCTAAATAACTTCTCATGTGCATCAAATTTTTTTTTTTTTTGACATGACATCTCATCCTTGGAAAAATATTAAGGTTGTATTTGGATTTCGAATTTGAGTAGAGAATTAAAAATAAAAAGAAAATTTTTAAGTGAAATATAATTATATTTTACTTATATATATATATAAATTATTTTCAAATCTAAATCCATGATACAAACATAGGCTATGAGGAATGTGTTAAAAAATTTGAAGTGTTTGGGAATATATAAATTATTTTCAAATCTAAATCCATGATACAAACATAGGCTATGAGGAATGTGTTAAAAAATTTGAAGTGTTTGGGAATGAATTTTTAACTAAAATACGAGATGAAAAAAATGAAGCATTTAGAAAATATTTTTTGACTTGTTACAAAAAAAAATGTGCGAAAGTTAATTTTTTGGTATGACTTATTGATTTTTTTAACTATTTTAGTCACTTGTTAAAAATAAAACTAAATGCTTGAAATTTATATCATAAATTTTATCTAGAAAGACTAAAACATTATGTGTGATTTAGATTTGACTCTGGTATGGTAGGACTAATAATCAAAATAAATTTAAATTACACATTAATTTTTTTTGGGAGTAAATTATAAGTAGAAATTATGATTACATAACATTAATGTCAAGAATAAAGACAACAATAATACGATGGGAAATTTGGTCAAAACTTTTTCATAATAAAATTTTAATGTATTAAGGATGAGTACAAAAAAAAAGAAAAATGTTTGGTAGCTCGTTTTGAGACATTCGAGCCATTCGGACCATGAAAATTCAAATTACCAAGCATTATTGCAAAAAAAATTCTTGAAAAGTCCAGTACTAATACCAAATATCCTTATTCACTAATTTAATATTTTAAACTTTAAAATGATATGACTTTTGATTTAAGTGTCAATTTTTAATAAAATTAGTATTATATTTTGGGTAAACTACAAATACACACCCTGAGATTTGATTAAAATACAAATCGCCCCTGTGATTTTTGGAAATTACATTTCACCCATGAGATTTCTAATTTTATAACAAATCGCCAATGTTATTAATAAATCATCAAGTCAAATAACAGTTTTTAATGATGTTAATAAAAAAATAAAAAAATTACTATCGAAATTGACGTAAATAGTAAAATTTGTATAACATAAAGACTTGGGGATGCTGTTATGCCTTCAAGGCACAACAGCCTGTTATGCCTCTTTGTGGGAGTTCGTTCCTAATATTTTTCGATAATCTGAACCATTCATATTGTAGAGTTCGTCAATAATATTTTGCATGTAAAAAATTAAATTAATCGGATATTCATAACCCCATGATTAGGTCTTAATTATTTTTAAAAATTTATGAAAGTTATGTTAATCGTTAATTTTTATAAAAATAAATGTGCTTTGGTTATAGAGCTGCAGATATTCAATCAACTTCATTTTTTGTATGAATGATCTACTCGACGAGCCTTATAATATCAACGGTTCAGATTATCGAAAGAAACTCAAGACGACACTCCACAAGAGAGCACAACAGCCTGCTGTACCCAAAGGCAAAGTAGAATCCTAGATCCAACAGAAGAAATAGTAACTCAAGAATATACTATCAGAGTAAAATTTTATTCAGTATGTTTGGTTTGAGTTTTTTGAATTAATTTTTTTGAAATTGAGTTTTTTTTTTCGTATTTTTTTTATTTTTAGTGAATACTTTTAAAATTATAAGCATTTTTTTTACTTTTTTAGATGCATCTTACTTAAATGTATCTAAAAAAAATAAAATATTTGTGAAAAAATATTTTAAAAAATTAATAAATATATAAAAATACAAAAAATGTACTATTTTTTATATTTTTGGTATTTAATATTTTTTTAAAGATTTTTTTTGGCAAAAATTATAATTTTTAAGTGTATTTATGTTAGATGTGTCTAAAAATTAAAAAAATTTCTTAAAATATTAAAAAAATTCAGTAAAAATAAAAAAATACAGAAAACAAAAAAATAGAATTTTCTGAAAAGTGTTTTTAGAAAACTCAAACCAAACAAAGTGATTATTATTCTTAAACAGGATATAAAAAAAATAAAAAATAAATAAATTGAAACCTTTGGGCTATGAATTTCCAACAAAAAAGGCACAATATCGACAGGCATGACTAACCCACTACCTCCAAATGCTTAACCAACTTCGATTCATCAACAATAACAATGAATTTCTTGCAACAATCCTCAATCATCTTCTCTCTCAACAACAACCCACCTCGTCCCTTTACCAAATTCATATAGGGATCGACCTCATCAACACCATCAATTGCCAGATCGAGAACAGGGTGAGAATTGAGGTCGGAGAGAGGAATTCCCAATGAGAGAGCTTGCTCGTGGGTCATATTCGAAGAGGGTATTCCAATAATGTCCTTGAGCTCGCATTGGCACAATAGTTCCTTGAATTTATCAATGGCGTGTTTGGCAATCATGTCGGACTTCACGAACACGACGCCTTGTAGGCGGCAATTTTTTTTAACAGTAATGCTATGTAGCTCGAATCTGGCCTTTCCCGAATCCCCCCGAAATCAAAACGACGTCGTTTTGATTATTTATTTTTTTTTTTTTCAGAAGAAGAAAATCAAAAAAGAAGGAGGAAGAAGAAGAAGAAGAAGATGAGAGAGAGAGAGAGAGAGAGAGAGAGAGAGACCAAGACCAAGACCAACATCAACCCAGACCAACATCAACCATTCATCTTCATCATCAACATCATTATCAGATCCAAAAAAAAAACAGATCCAGAAAAAATAAAATAAAAAAAATTCAACCATTCATCTTCATCAACATCATCAACATCTTCATCAACATCATCAACAATTTTATTTTTTTCCCTTCATTTCAGATCCAGAAAAAAAAAAAAACAAAATCGGGTGAGCTGGGCTTTTGAAAAGTCCAGTACTAATACCAAATATCCTTATTCACTAATTTAATATTTTAAACTTTAAAATGATATGACCTCTCTTCTCTTTCTCTCTTTCTCTTTGTCTCCCTCTTCCTCTCTGCGTTTCAAACAAAGGAGGGAAGAAAAAAGAAAAAGAAAAAAAAGAAAAAAAAAGGAAACTGCCCAAAACGACGTCGTTTTGGGCAGTCGGGAGATTTGGGAAAGATAAATTGGAGGGGAAAATCATTTTCCTTTTTTTAAAGCCTTTGGGCTGTAAATTTCCTTTGGGCAAGATTGTAAAAAAAATAAAAAACAAAAAATAAAAAATAAAAATATAAAAAAAATTGAAAACACGTTTGTTTGTCCTTCGTGAAGTTGGCGCCTCCTATTGCGCGTTTCATGAGATAAAAATTTTAGGCTATCATTTTCATCAAAAAAGGGCTCAATAAGAGACTTTTAGTCAAATTTTCCTAATATAAACCATCAAAAGATCTCACATTAGTTTAGTGAGGTCTATTTGGTTGAATTAAGGAGAGATTATCAAATTAACATAATTGTTGACACCATATTATTATTTCAAACACGTGACACTCTCTTGATCAATTAGGAGTTAAGAGAAATTACAAAGTTAGGGGTTGTTTGGAATGTCCTAAATAAGTGCACTTTTTTTGTCTTTTTAAATTAAAAAGTTGAAAAAAAAAAAGATGGATGTTTGGGTTAATTTTTTGACTTTTTACAAAAAAATGTGTATTAAAAAATTGTATAAATAAGTATATAAGAGAAGTTTTAGTGAAGTAGATAGTACGGCCCGTACAGTTTGGGCAGAGTAGTGGGCTGTGTAGGAGATAGGAAATGGTTGCCTCCTTTTCGGGGCTTGAATTGGACGGTACTGTTCGGCCCGTGGGGGCCCACCACGGGTCTCGTTTTGCTAATCGAAACCGTTCAATGTGTAGAACTAGTCGAGTACTATATGCTTATAAAAAATCACGTTGATCTGATATCGATAGCTATCTGATCGTATTAGTTTTTTTGTCAATCGTTAAACTATAACACCATCCATTTTTCATACAAAACTGATTTGATCATATAGTTAGCGATATCCGATCAATGTGATTTTTTACAAACATATAGTACTCGACGAGTTCTACACATTGAACGGTTCAGATTATCAAAACAGGACCCGTGATGAGCCCCCACGAGCCGAATAGCACCGTGTTGTTTGTGCACCCCGCTTGTGCAATTTTTCCAAAAAAGTCAGCAAAGTCTGAAGGGAGACAGGCACCAATTGTAATAATTAAGTGTAAAATTAATTAATTTTTTTAATATTTTTTTGGGGTGAATAGTGATAACTTTTTAACTTTTTGAGTAATTTTTTTGACTTTTTTTCATGTATCCCAAACCAGGCCTTACATGCATGGTGGAACATGGAAGACAAGGTGGAAGAAGTTAAAGCACATGTGAAGAATATGATAAACAAAGTGACTTAGTGGAAGATATGGAGAGATATGTGATATTGTGGGAATAAAGGTAGAAGAGTGGAGGTAGAAGAGTGGGTAGTTTTAGGTACTTATTGGATAGTTATTATTGGAAGGTTTTTCCTATAAATAACCATTGATGGCTACATTTATAGGACCCAGGACTAGATCCAGAAACCAGTTTATCTACTTTATATTTTTCCTTCAAGTTATTTACATTTCAGTTCTTTACTTTCCTGCGTTGCATTTTAGTTACTTAGGAATAGTTCTAATTTAGTCTGTTCATTGCTGCAATTCCCTTCGAAACTATGGAAGTGTGAAGATACTACTGTAAACATTTGCTTACTTAATGAAATTCAAATTCTGACACTGTTCTCTCCCTATTTCTTTTACTTTTAATTAATGACTTCTGAATTTTCTCTTAAAACAAGCTACCAGTAAAAGTCCTCTTCATTGAGGCTAAGAGAACTTCGAAGCCATTGTCTAATTGATTGGTTGACATTTACTATTTCTTTAAGGACTTGTTAATCGTTGCTGGTATGCTCTAATTACATTTCTAACCTTCCAAACCCAAAAAAACCAACATATATTTTTAGCACGCCTAGTGGGATTATCATTATAATGGCTAGACGAAGACAACAAAGAGAAAATGAGCGCCCTAAAGAAGGCATAGAAGAAAAAATGACAAACGAATTGGATTTTGCCATTCAAATTTATCAATATGAAATATATTGGTGTGAAAGAAAAATTTTAGATCTTCAAGAAGAGATCCATTGTAACGCCCCACTTCCGGGTCGTTAAATACACTAAAATAGCCACAAAAAAAATATACAAGTTTTGCTCCCAAAAATAATAACTACAAAATTATCTCCAAATTGTACCGTATTCTCCAAAATATTCTACAGTACATTTATCTCCGAAATAAACAATATTACAACTATCTCCAAATTTAATAATTATAGTGGTGGGTCCCTAATCTCTGTATTAATAAATATTTCTAATCTCAATTTCGATCTCTGCTAAAATCTGCTCCGCACTTGAAAAATAAATTAATTCGGGAAAGTATACAATACGACAGGAATACAAGGCTCGGATACAGAATAAATTAACAGGAATCCAACAATTTATGACATTAAATTAACAATGCGATAATGAAGCAATTTACCAAATTGCACAACAAATCAACCATAATTTATCTATGACTAAATACCCGGTCCTACTCAGTACATGACCAGTGAATAAATTTATTTATTCACCCACCTCACCCAAGCTCCACGCTTATCCGGGCATATTGGTGTAAACAATTTAACAAGATTCACTTGATCCATGTACGAAGTATTTCCATGTCATTCAGTCAGACAAATCACAATTTTGACACAGAAATATTTGCAGAGAATTTTATCAAATGATCAGAATATCAACGATTCGACAACAAATGATTTTACAAAATCTATTAATAACCACAATAATCAAGTGGATTAGAAATTGAGGATAATTAAAAATAGAAAACTCTTTGCAAAGAGATTTAATAGAACATATTGTGTACAACCCAATTTTACCTCAAATCAATTAATTCTGCCACTATAAATCTTAAATTACTCCATGGGTCTCCAAAAATAACTCTGATCTCACTTTGATAAACTATACAACTCTCATATTAAAAACATTAACTCTCACTCTAAATCCCACATCTAAACTTAATATTTTGATCCCAAACAAATTAAGAGAGAAAACAATATGAAGAGAGAGATAAAGCCAAAGCAAAGAAGAAGTTGAGGAACTGAGAAATGATAAGCTCAATTTATAAGAACAAGAGGAGGTAATAAAATAGAAGGCAATTATGTTCTCAATAAATCAAGGAAGTTTGGGAAAGCAAATGGGTATGGTCTGGTAGCATGGACTGTTGGTCATTAATAAAGTAAAAGAAAATAAATAAAATTAATGAAAAGAATTAAAAAGGGTAGACAAAAGGGTATGGGGGCGGGTGGCATAGCAGGCCACATTTTTTTTTTCTTCACCAAAGGAATACTAGGAAACGTGAAATATGGGGTTAAATTTATTTTCAGTTGGGGATGAATAGCAATAAGGTAGATATAAAAGAGATAAATACAAATAAATAATTTTAAATTAAATTTTTATCTAAAAATCTCATCACTAAACTATTATCATAAATCACCAATACCACTCACTAAATTATTATTATCTCAAAAATACGGGGTGTCACATCCATTTTCTTAATGAAGAAAATTTTAAAGTTGTTGCTTTATTCATATTATTTGGTAGAAGAAAAAATATACAATTTAATTGGAGTAATTCATCAACTTGATATGAAAATTTACCAATGGAGACATGAGTTATTAATCCTTCTTGTCAAGTCTTTAATGACTGAATTTTGTGGGGCTTTACAAAATGTTTTCAGGTTTTAATTATTGAAATTGGTGAAAACATAACCTCATCAATGGCTCGAGGAGTCTAAGAACTCGTTTTTAAAGAGCCAAATTATAAAATTAATACAATGAAAGAGTATGTTCTTGAGTCAAACATGGCTAAGAATGATGTTCCATATATGGCTCGGGGGGTTCATATATCCATTTGTAGAGAGCCAAGTCACGAAAAGTTTGTTAGGGAGCATGTTTTTAAACCAAGTTTGAGTTTAAAAACGATGAGCAACCCATAGTTAGTGGATTCCAAATTTTTGATGATATGGAAAATCTCAAAATATTTGAATTTCCAAAACCACCATATACCACTATCTTCGTTGTTTAAAATCTATTTTGGATTTATGGTTCACATCAAAATTTAATTTTGATGAAATGGTTAACAAAATAGAGAAGTTTAGAAAATATATTTGTTGAGTTTTTTCCTACATTTTCACAATGGGAAGCATAGAAATGATCAATAATAATGGTCCTGACTATTTTCATGGTTATATGTGAAATAGTGGCCAATACAAATTTATAGTTGGCCAAGGAAGAAGAAACTTTGCAGAAAACACAATGAGTTCACATGTTTGTTGTTTTTTACCATGTAATGTGAAAACCATCATTCTTGACCAAAAATTGGTCTTTGCAATGTA